GGCAGCCCACAGCCAACAGCTGATCCCCGAGGGAGTGTGAAGGCTGGGCCGTGTCAGGCCAACTAGGATGACCCTAAAGGACTTTTCCAGCTCCCAGGCTCCCTGTGGGGTCAGGCCCCAGCAGCTCAGCTCTCTTCTAGCCATTCCTGATTCCTTCTCCACTTTACACAGGTGGGGACCGCAAAAGCACCTTTTAATAAGCCCTTGTATGGTAAACTCTGTCTCAGTCAGCTTCCCAGGAAACCCAGCCTATGACAGGTGGTTTATTTGTGGGGTTTTTGTTTTTGTTTTTGTTTTTGTTTTGAGACAGGGTCTTGCTCTGTCACCCAGGCTGGAGTGCAGTGGCATGATCATGGCTCACTGCAGCCTCACCCTCCTGGGCTCAAGCAATCTTCCCACCTCAACCTCCCAAGTAGCTGGGACTATAGGTGTGCACCACCATGCCTGGCTAATTTTTGTGTTTTTTGTAGAGATGGGGTCTCACTATGTTGCACAAGCTGGTCTTAAACTCCTGGGCTCAAACAATTCTCCTGCCTCAGTCTCTTGAGTCGCTGGGATTACAGGTGTGAGCCACCACACCCAGCTTGTGTCCTTTTTCCTTAGAAAGGGAGAGGACCAGTGTGAGGAAGATAGGTGGATCACATGGAGGAGACGGTGGGGCACAACTAACAAAGGCATGGTGCCCTCTGCACCCCACCTCTGCAGTGTCCGCAGTGGTACTAAAACAGAAGCCACACTGCACTAGGTGGTATAGGCCAGGAGCAACGCCTAGAAGACCAAAAACCCAACGCCATGGACAGAGAGACACAAAGAGGCCACGGCGGCGTGGCTGGAGGAGGAAGCAGGCCCAGCAGAACAGGGAAAGAGACACACCTCTGTAGGATCTTATTTTATTAAACCCACAAAGACCAGCCATGGAAAGTGCCAGGAGAGTTTCCGTGCCACGTTAATCAGTAACTGGAAACTGGGCATCTTGAGACTCTAAGGGCTTATAGAGGTGGCAAGAGGGATTCACAAACTCTTTCCACAAAGTCAAATACCCAAAGGGACACCTTTGACCTAGGAAGGGGACCAGGCTAACCCAAACATCTACTTTGCTTTGCTTTTGGCCTGAGTGGCATTGCCTGTCACAGGGACTTCTGTCACTCTGACTCTCACTGCCAAGCGCTCTGCACCATTAATCATTCTTCTATTTGGAAGTAGAATCTAACCATTATTTAACAAATGTAGCATGTTGGGTAGACAAGATCTTTCCAGTAATACCAGATGTAGGGGAGGGAAAAGTATCTGTGGGGGTGAGCCCCTCAGCTGTCCAGCCTCCTCAGGCTACTGACAAGGGAGGAGCAGTCTGGAGGATCACGCGGTCTGTTCAAGGTCCCCACACAGGGGACTTGCTCAAAGACTGCCATTGCTCAGACCGAAAGACTTCCTCCTCTGCCCCAAGGGAGGTCACGAAGAGCAGAAAGAAGCTCTGCCACCAAAGCAGGCATGGGGCAAACCCTCTCCTACACAGTTGGCAGCTCGGCCCTGGCATGAGTGCTGCAGGGAGCAACCAAGCCACACCTAAAGGACACAAACCACGCAGCCCCACAGTCCCACTCCTGGGAGCTGATCTTGCAGCTACGCCTGTCCTTTGTAGATGGGTACATTCCAAAGGCCCATCAGTGAGGGCTGCTTAAGTGACCTTAGGTGACCCAGGCACATCGCACAGCAGCCACGTATAGCCAACTCAACACATGCTGATGTAGAGCCACTGCGGAGACGCTGTGCAGTGGAACAGCATGCCACCACTGGGGCTGGCAGAAACACATATGCTCATTACACCCAGGACACTCGACCAGACAGGTTGGGAAAAAGTTTATACAAAAAATGAATAAAATACACGATTCCATTTTTAAATGAAATTTCAGAATAGGTAATGCCACAGAGACAGAACGCACATCGGTTGTTGCCAGGAGCTGGGGGAGATGGGGGGAAACAGGGAGCAATTGGGTTAGGGGTATGGGGTTTCCTTTTGGGTTGATGAAAACATTTTGGAACTAGACAGAGGTGTTCATTGTACAACACTGTGAATGTATTAATATTAAACAACACTGAATCGTTCACTTCAAAATGGTTAATTTACCTTATGTGAATTTCATCTCAATTAAAAATAAAAAATAAAATAAATAAATAAAATAGGCCTCCAAATCTCTGCTTGGGAGACAGTTTGGCAATGCTGGTTAGATGCGTGAGCCCTGAGGCTGAACTAAACTGTCAAGCTCAAGCCCCAGCAGCACCCAATATGACCTGTGACACCGCTGGTAATTTAATCTCCCTGAGCTTCCATTTCCTCATCAGTAAAATGGGCATAATGGCAAAACCAGCTTCCGATGATGCTGTGACCAGTCAATTCAATAGTCAGCACCAAGCGTTCAGTACGGTGTCCAGCACAGACCAGGCCTGCAGGGCCTCTGTGCTTGCTGTCTGCCCTGCCACGAACACCACTTCCCTGGGAAAACACACGGTCCAGTCTCCTGCCTGCCTTTGCTCAAATGCATCTTCTTGGTGGGACATTCTCTGATCACCCAATTTAAAACTGGAAATCTCTCTGCCACCCCCAGCCCCAGGGCTCCATTCCCTTTCTCTACCTTGATTCTCTCCCTAGTACTTGCTTATTTACTTCATTCACTCCCTGCCTCCTTCTACTACATTGTCTGCTCCAGGCAGGCAGAGGTTCCTGTCTGTCCTGTTCACTATGTATCCCCAAGACCTGGAACAGAGCATGGCCTCAAGATAGGTGCTCAATAAATTTTAATATATGCTGAATGGATGAGTAGCATTAGCTAATACCGATGCTCTGATGCACCACATAAACTTGCATCCCAAGATAAATAAAACTGCTGTTTGTGTTGTCCAATGAGCTTGAAATTTACAACAAAAGTTTAAATTAAAAGACCCACAGTATTTCCAGCTAACTATTACTCCCAAACGTGGGAATGTGCTGAGGAGAAAAGAGTTCACGGTGAGATGGTGCCACGTGCTTTAAAAAATAAACCAGTAGGCCGGGCACAGTGGCTCACACCTGTAATCCCAGCACTTTGGGAGGCTGAGGCAAGAGGATCACTTGAGCCCAGGAGAACAGCCTGGGCAACCTAGAGAGGATGCCCCCACCTCCATGCCCCCTTCGTCCCCCGCTTCCTCCTAAGTAGTCCTAGCTACTCAGGAGGCTGAGGTAGGAAGATGCCTTGAGTCCAGGAGGTCTAGGCTGCACTGCACTCCAGCCTGGGCAACAAGGCAAGACCTTGTCTCAAAATAAATAAATAAATAAAAATAAAGTTAAAAAAAAAGTAAGCCGTAAACAGTTACCCTGACCTCAGCCTGCTGAGTATGGGGTGAGAACTGGCTCCCCACGAGGTGCTCATGAGAAGTAAAACACAATGCTACCATAAGCTGCACACATCCAGCAGCCCAGTGCCTCAGACCCTGGTCCCTCAAAGGACCTTGGGACACTTGTTCGTTCACGGAGAACAAGGGTAGGCTGACAGCAGTAAGCCAGCTGTCTTCCTCTCCCAGAGCCTTCCCTGTCCCTGCCCTCCATTCGGCAGAGCTGCTACCCCAGCAGAACGCAGGCTATGGGGAACACGTGAACTCAATTATCCAAAGTTAAAAAATGAAAAACCCCTCCGATTCTCCACGAATAGGCTGTCTTTCTAGTTAGCTCTCCTATGAGACAACTAATCATTACTCAACAGAAAGATGCAGCTACCACTAAACCCTGTGCAAAGAAAAAAAGTTGAAGCTAGCAGTCTCCAAGAGTTTGTGGTTTTAAAACAGAGAATAAAACAAACCTTGCAAGTTTGAGTAAAACCAAGAAGACACATTTTCCATCCTAGTTTGAGCCATGGCTGTGGTGCTACCTGGCTGTTGGCTGTTACCTGGGGATGGGCTGGGTTAGGAGGCTCATGGTGCAGCAGGGCTCAAATCTCGCCACACAGCAGGGTCACAGCTTGCTGGGTCCCATCCCACAGTTTCTGATTCAATAGGTCTGGGGTGGGGCCCAAGAATTTCCATTTCTAATCAGTTTCCAGGCAAAGGGATGCTCCTGATCCAGGGACTACACTTAACCACTGCTCTGGTCAGGGGCGGTGGCTTACGCCTGTAATCCCAGGACTTTGGGAGGCCGAGGCGGGCGGATCACGAGGTCAGGAGATTGAGAACATCCTGTCTAGCGCAGTGAAACCCCTTCTCTACTAAAATAAATAAATAAATACAAAAAATTAGCCAGGTATGGTGACACGTGCCTGCAGTCCCAGCTACTCAAGAGGCTGAGGCAGGAGAATTGCTTGAACCCAGGAGGCGGAGATTGCAGTGAGCCAAGATTGCGCCACTGCAATCTAGCCTGGGCTACAGAACGAGACTCCATCTCAAAAAAAAAAAACAAAAAAAACCACTGCTCTACAAGTCTTTCATGGTAGTGTTTGACCTGCCTCAACTGCACACAAGTACCCACCTACACACAGACACACACACACGGCAGTCAAGAGCACCTGCCTCAAATCACTGGTCCCTCAAACAGCCAGAACAACCAGATCTGCCCAACCAACTACAGACTGAATGACCAGGGGTACCTTCCCCCTGAGAAAGCTGGTCTCATTCAAGTCCTGCATGAGCCTGTCACTGCAAGAGGCTCTAAAATCACACCCAAAACCCCTGAAATCCAAAGTCGCAGCATTTCTCTTTTCTGAGAGCAGTCACGAGCGATCCCACCCTGCTGCACCCTTCACACATGGGTAACCCCAGCTGCAAGGTCCGCTTTCTACCCCAGCATGCTTTCAAGTTTCTGAATCAGAAAAAGCAGCTGAAAGAGGAAGCCCAAAACAAAAAACAGAAAAATAAAAAAACAGGCCACTGAAGGAGAGGTAGCTACAGCCTACAGCATCCCTGGTAGGAAGCATGTTTCCCCAACCTCAAGAACCCTATCACCCCACCATAGGCAACTCCACCAGCCTCTCACTCACCAAAGTAATCGGCCTTCGGGTGAGCATCCATCTCTCGCTCCAGACGCTGGGTGAGGGCTTCTAATTTCAACTCAGCAGCAGAAGGTCTCAGTTCAGGACCTGGGACCAGGGGCTGGCAGGGCAGCCTCACCCTAGGGGAACTTGGGCTCTCCAGGAGCACAGGCCCCAGGCTACCATCAGAAGACCAGCCCAGGGTACCCTCTTTACAAGATAACTCAGGCAGGGTGGACATCACTGGATGGACAAGACTGGTGGGGCTGAGCTTGGGACCAGTGCCAAGGTCTGTGCAGCCAGGCTTCGGCCCCAGCCCAGGGATCGCACCCGGCTGTGAACTGTCCAGGCCAGCTGGCGAGGATGACGGGGCAGAACTGGAAAGGTAAGATTTGGGCCCATCCTGGAACCAAGGTTGGGGGGCCACATTGGGTTTGGACATCACACCTGAAACCTCACCCCCCAGCCCCGAGTTTGATCTTGGAAGACCTCCTTGCCTGGGGCAGCTCAGGGCCAGGGGTGCTGACACAGAAGGGGTCCTGGGCTGAGCAGGCCCCAGAGCTGGTGCTCCATTCTCCAAGTTTGGGGAAGGCAGGCCAGGGCTCACCCGCTGGGAGGAGGCAGTGGACCAAAGGCCTGTTGGCTTCTCGCTGCTGCGGCCACCAATGCCACTATCCTGACCACCGAGGCTACCCTCAGATGATCTGCTGGAGCTCAGGGAGAGCTGTCGCTGGTTTAGGGGATGGTCCCCACAGGGTTTGGGCAGTGGTGGGTCACTCCCCAGGGAGCTAGGCCACCCACTCCCTACACTCAGGCCGATGCTGGGGGACACTCCTGGTTTGTCACCCCACTTTGGGCTTGCCAAGGAGAGGTTGTCGTAATAGTCTCCGTGAGTGAGGCAGGAAGGATCCTCGCAAGGGCCTGGCTGGTGCAAAGCAGACATCTCAGAAGTCGCCGGGCTCTCCCTGGAACCACAGTCCTGGCTGCCATGCCTTGTGCCATGCAGGTATGGCCTGGATCTCTGCTCCTGCGGTGGGTACGGGGGCTGCCCAGCAGCGAAGGTGGTGACTGCCCCAGGCGCCCCTGTCGAGGCAGCAAGAGGAGGCTTGGCAGCACCATCCACAGTCAGCTTGCTGCCCACACCAACTTCCCGACGGGTGTGTGGGCCCAGGCGGCCCCCTCCATTGACAGGGCCTCTGCTTCCCCTGGGCAGGGTCTCCTCCTGCAGGAGCTGCTGCTGCTGCTGGAGGTGGATTTTGGCCATCTTGGTGGCGAACACCCTGCGAGTTTCCTCAAACTCGGGATTGTTGCCTGCACCCTTGTCCACTCGGAAGAGCCCATCCTTGGAGGCCTCATACATGTTCAGGTCCTCGATGAATTTACTGGCCTCCAGGCCCAGGTCGTCATACTTATCCATGCTGCAGACAGGTGTCCCGGCCTAGCCCAGGTGCCGTGTGTGTGTGTGTGTGTGTGTGTGTGTGTGTGTGTGTGTGTGGAGGGCGGCGGGGAGATGCTGGCGAAGGGTCGGGGCTCAAGTCCGACCCAGTACAGGTAAAGACTTCCACCTGCCTAGCATGAAGGGCATGACCCCAGGACTTAAGAGTTCAGCCGAAGTTGAGACCTCAACGCCAGCTGGACCAAGTTGGCTTCCAACTCCCTTTCCCCTGGAGACGTCCTTGTTGGGGTAGCTGGTGGCACTTTGCTGTCCCGGGCCTGCTCAGCGGAGTTCTTTTCTCCTCTCCAAATTATAAAAGGAAAAAGAAAACAGCAAAAAAGTAAAATCACATCCTCCTTAGGCAACCAAACGCGGAAACCCACAGCAAGGCAGCAGCCGACTGGGTCGGGTGAAGCTGAATCGGCCAGGAGGGCGCCGAGGCCGCGAGTCGGGCCGGAGCAAAGGCGCGGAGGCTGAGGCGCAGGTACGTCCCGGGCGCTGGGTCCTCCGCTGCTTCCCCGGAGCTGCGATCCCGGCCGGCGCCTGGCGGGAGCGCCGTCCGGGACGCACGGGCGGCCGAGCAGCGGCAGGAAGTTCACGGCAGCTGGGGCTGGCGGCCCATTGTCCGATGGCGGCGGCGGATCGGCGCGCGCGGGCCGGAGGGCGGCGGGACGCGGAAGTGAGTGCGCCAGGAGCAGTCCCTGCTGCTCGCTCGCCGGCTCTGCACGTCCCGAGCCCGCGCGGGGGCGGAGGGGGCGGCCGAGGGGCGGGGACGGCGCGCGGGCGGGCGCCCAGGGGCAGGCCTGCACACTGCAGCGTGGCTGGGCCTCCCGCCCCCAGTCCTGGCTGGAGAACCCCGAGGGGTGCCCCGCAAGTCCGTCCCACGCTCTAGCACTGGGACTGCACGGGAGTTCGCCGCCGCCACTGCCGCCCCCTGCGAGTCCTGGACCGAATTGAGTGCTCCGACCTCCCTTCCAGTCTCGGGTCCTCAGCCCGGCCCCGCCCCTGGCAGCGCTGGGCGGGGTCCTCCGCTCGGAGACGGGCGGCCTGGGTAGCCTGCATGGGCCCAACACTGGCGCTGGGAGTTTGCGAGGAGTTTGGAGGATGCCACTCCTCGCTCCACTGCTTCAGTTTCCCCGGTGGAAAGCCAGCCCTGTGTGCCTCTCGAGGCCGCCACTGTCCAGGCTGTGCCCGCCGCCCGGCTTGCCCGAGGTGCACTATTGGAGAGGCGCACGGGCATGTCACCCGTGGCTGGCCCACCGTCCTCTTTGACAGATCGGGAGACTGAGGCAGAGAGGGGGAAATGCCCGGGATGTCAACGTAACCAGCAAAGCGTAGATGGGAGCCCGGGCCCTCTGAAAGAGCGGAAAAGAAGAAAGTCTCGTTGTGCCCGCGCGCATTTCACGTCGTCAGTGCAGCAGTAAAAGTACGTGCCCTAGTAGGCTCGTTATTCATAGAGGGACCCATCTGCAAGTGGATCCGCGCGGCTCCAGGGACACCAGGCCTGACTCCTTGGCGCCCCCGCATGGCCCGGGACTCCCTATACCAGTTCCCAGGCGATCCTGGAGAGGTTTCATTTCCCACACTACAGCCATCGTGATCCTAAGGCAAATACTAGACCAGACACTTCTCTGCCTAAATCCTCAGCGCTTACCCCAGACTTAAATTGAAATCGGCTCCTTGCCGCAGCCTTCTGGGCCTGATCTGGGGATCTTCCCTCTCTCCCTGCACTCTAGCTGCAGGAGCTTCCTGGTGTCTGCCCAGAGCTTGCCCCTAAACTGAGTGGCTCATCTTTCCCATCCCTGCTGAAGTCACCTCCTCTTAGAGGCCTTCTCGGAGTGATTCCTGTTCTTTTTCAGCACCCTCTTTACTTCCTGCTCAGTCTGGTAACTATTTATAATTATTTATTTGTTGGTTAACGTGCGTTTTTTTGTTTGGTTGAGGGGTAGGTTTCCCACTCCATTAGACCATATCTGTATGCCGAGTGCCTGGTATATATTAATAGTAGTACCTAATGGTCGAATAAGTGAATTAGTGAACTCCTATCTGCCAGAGTTGTGACAGAGAACAAATAATATATATGAATATGCTTTATATTCTGTAAACCAGGGGTCCCCAACCCCTGGGTTACTAACCAGTACTGGTCTGTGGCCTGTTAGGAACTGAGTCGCACAGCAGGAGGTGGGAGGAGGCAAGCCAGCGAAACTGTATCTGTATTTACAGCCACTCCCCATCACTGGCATTACCGCCTGAGCTTCACATCCTGTCAGATCAGTAGTGGCATTAGATTCTCAGAGGGGTGCACAAACCTTATTATGAACTACCCTCATGAGGAATCTAAGTTTGCACGTTCCTTATGAGACTCTAATGCCCGATGATCTGAGATGGAACAGTTTCATCCCCTGTCTGTGAAAAAATTGCCTTCCATGAAACTGGTGCCAAAAAGATTGAGGACTGCTGCAGTAAGCCCAAAGTGTGGTTAATAGACTCCATATCACCAGGGAGCTTGTTGAAAATGCAGAATCTTAGGCCCCACTGCCAACCTACTGAATCAGAATCTGCATTTTAATATTTCTGGGCGGTTTGTTTGTACAATAAAGTTTGAGAAGCACTACTATAAAGCACTATACTAAAATTAAGTATTTTTATTAACAAAATTTTTTTGGTTTTTTATTTACAAGTAATACATGTTTCTATAACAATTTTGAGCAATACAGACATATATAAAGTTTTAAAAGTTGCCCACCATCCCCTTTCTCAGAGGTGATCATAATTAAACACCCCTTAGGTATTGGGTAATACTTATTAATTACAAACTGGATTTAGGCTGGAGACCAGCCTGTCTAACAAAGCAAGTCTCATCTCTACAAAAATTTTTAAAAATTAGCCAGGTGTTGTGTGTGGTGCACACCTGTAGTCCTAGCTGCTAGGGAGATTGAGGTGGGAGGATCCCTTGAGTCCAGGAATTCAAGGCTGCAGTGAGCTGTGATTGCGCCACCGCTCTCCAGCCTGGATGACGGAGTGAGACGATAAAACAACTGGATTTACTCATAAACCAAGTGATTTGCTTATGAAATTTCTAGAACAGTAGTTCTCAAAGTGTGGTCCTGAAGCCAACAACATTAGCATCTCCTGGAACTGGTCTAGACTAGTGCTCCCAAATTTGAACATGCACCAGAGTTCCTTGGGGGAGCTTCTTAAAACACCAATTGCTGGACCCTACCCCCAGAGTTTCTGATTCTGCAGGTCTCAGATGGGGACTAAGAATGAGTGTCTCTAACAGGTTCCCAGGTAACACCACTGATGCTGCTGGTTCAGGGACCACACTTTGAGAAACACAAGTCTAGAGTCCTGATTCCATGCTTCCCTAGGCACTGTGTGGCAGTGGCCCTTGATACACATAGGGGTGCGTTTTCTTTTGGAGTGGAAGACTGGCTCACTTTGCCTGACCTCCAAATATGGCGGCTGTAGCTGACAAAGTGCTAGGAATATGTGGCCATCCCTGTGCAAAGTCCAGTAAGCTCAGAGCCAGCTTTCTGGGTTTTCAGTGTGGATAGTTGGGACCCTGGTGCAGGAGCCACAGACACAAACCAGGGCTCTTATATTTGTTTTCTCTTTTCATCCTATCTTGGCGATGGCAGCAGTGGTCCATCTGGAGCAGCCATTGCCATGATGCTGGCTGCAATGGCGAGGTGTGACCAGGATTGCATGCTCCACGGAGCTGGTAGGAGCTAGGAACAGGCAGGAGCCCCACTCCCTTCTGAGTTGGTGTGGCGGGAGCCCTGCCTTCCCAGGCACAGCTGCAGCCACCCAGCTGTGGCTGCGGATGTGGGCATCCCTGTGTTCCCAGGGACCTAGAAAGCCATCCTACCCCCACAGGCTCAGAAGTGCCTGCTCCTCCTGCCTGGCCTCTCCTGGTGTCCACTCTGATTTTGGAGCAAAGTTGAAGCTGAGCCCAGGCACTGTCACGACCCAGTTGGGGATGCATGCACTCAGGGCAGCAATGACATGCCAGTCCCCTGCTGCCTCGGCCCACTTCAGACTTTGGGTGCCGACGAGCATGGGAGGGAGGCAAGGGTGGGGCTGAGGGCAGCTCGACACGTACCTGCAGGCACCCCTCAGCATGAACAACCTGGGTGCCATGGGTGCCATGGACAGCAGGTTGATGGCAGCAGGAGGCAATCAGGCTCCTGGGTCAAATGGGATGGGTCCCTGGTGAAGCCCCACCTTCAAGCCAGGGATGGCCTGAAGCCCAGGGGCTGGGCTATCAGTCCTATGGACTGGAGTGAGAACTAATGATTCTTTTTCCGGGCTTGCCTATGGCTGCCCGTGGACCAATGAGCACACACTTCCTCCCTTCTGAAGTCTGTAAAAAAAACAGACTCCACCAGACTCAGGCAGACAATGGGATGACCTGCCTGCAGATAGGAGCTGCCCCCTCTGGGTCTCTCTGCTGAGGGCTGCAGAGACGTCAGGGTGACCTGCCTGTGGAAGGCAGCTACTCACTGTGGGTCTCCTCTCCACTGAGAGCTGGACACTCATCAGGACAACCTGCCTGCGGAAAGGACTTACCCACTGAGAACTGTTCTGCCACTCAGTGAAGCTCCTTTCTGCCTTCCTAACCCTCCAGTTGTCTGCATACCTCATTCTTCATGGACGCGGGACAAGAACTTGGAGCCCGCTGGGCAAATGGTGGCACTAAAAGATCTGTAACACAAACAGGACTGAAACATGCCCCTTGTTTGCCACGTTGTGGGCACCGAGAAGGAGAGAAGAGAGACAGAGAGAACAGAGAAGAAAGGAGAGAAGAGAGAAGGAGAGAAGAGCTGCAGCCCTTTGGGGAGCCCAGACCTAGGAGCGCCCCAGTCCAGGGCTATGATACCCTCTTTGGGGCTCTGTGGTTCCCGGTGTCTCCAAGCTTCCAGGTGCCACCGCATTCCCCAATGCCAGCGGTGGAAGTTGCTTGTGGTACGCCTGGTCCAGCCACAGCCTCGCAGGGAGCTGTGCCTGTGCTGGCACCTGGAGCTGCCTGCCCTGCCACAGCTGGCATGCCTGGCTGTGTGCAGTGGCCAGACTCCATGCTTGCTTGCTCACACACCTCTCACTGCTCCATGGCTGGCTTACCCTTGGCAGGCATTGGATCCAGGCCAGTAGCACGAACTGAGCACAGCCTGTCAGGCTAAGTGAGTGAAACAAACCCAGCGGGCCTGAGCAAAACTCGGGCAAAGGCACCATTGGCCCCATTGGCCACAGAGGTTTCTGGCTGGAAAAACAACAACCCAAGTATCCTGTGACATTGGCACCTATGTGAGCCCACAATACTTGATGTCCTCCTGCCTCCCTGTATCTTGGCTTAGCTGAAGTGCTTAGCATTCCAGAAGCTTGTAGACATTACTCTCCACCCCAACTGCCATTCTAGAACAGTTGCACCATCTCCATCAACTAAACACAAACCTAAATCCACAATCCATGTATTTAAACTGGCTTGTCCTCTCTCAGTCAATGGAGCACCTTACACTGTTACAAAATAGCTTATAAAGATGGCATCCCAGCCGAGCACAGTGGCTCCCTCTTGTAATCCCAGCACTTTGTGAGGCCAAGGAGGGAGGAATGGTTGAGGCCAGGAGTTTGAGACCAGCCTGGGCAACAAGCATAGTGAGATCCCATCTCTACCAAAAAATAATTTTTAAAAAATTAGCCAGGCATGGTAGCACATGCCTG